ACGCTTTTCCACTGGGAAATACAATCAAGCCTGATATTTGGTCAACTTAATTTAGTTCATGATGTTAATTTAGTCCCCCGGCTCTGATATTTTCTTTTTGTGAGAGCCATTATTTGCAGGAGATTACGAATCTAGCAGATTACTGTTTATAAAGAACACAAGAACTGCATGATCGCTTTAGAAAGATCACATGACAATCAACATGCCGTTTAATGGGAACCAAAAAGTTCTGTCATTATTTATTCATACTCGCATTGATGCAGACTTTCATGTTCATATTTTATCAGATTCAGAACACATGCAATAGTTCATATTGACCACCAATGTCACGCTTCAAAAAGGATCATGTGACACTGAAGACTGGAGTAACGGGGCTGATGAAAATTCAGTGCTGCGTCACAGAAATAAATTACATTTTGAAAAGTATATTAAAATAGGAAATTGCAGTAATATTTCAAAATTCTACTGTTTTTTTTCTGTATTTTTGATCAAATAAATACAGCAATGTCCCGCTTCAAAACAGACCAAAAAAAAAAAAAAAACCATAAAAATCTGATATATATATATGATACAGTAGCTCTATGTGAAAAATGTTCAAAGCTTGCAAATAGGACCAGGGTTATTTTAATATCATAATATTATATACTATTATATATCATACAAACTATTATATGGTTTATTAATATTTTTAATTAGTTTTTTTCTTTTTAGATTGTTTTCATTTGAATTTTTAGTAATTTTGTCGCGTGTTTGTCATTTTTATTAGTTTTTAGTTTAATATGTCTATATATCTTTATTGGTATATATTTTTATTTAAGCTTTAGTTTTAGTTATTATAGTATCAAGATGAACTAAATGAAAATGACAAATGCTTGGCAACTAGCTGAAATAAAAAAAATAATAATAATATAAAGTTTTTTATATATATTTTATTTTAGTTCAAGATCATTTTATTTGAAGTAGTAAAAAATATAAAGTATTGCAGTAGTAAATTATTTTACGGTTTTAGTTAATTATAACAATCATGAATAGGACAACATGATCAATTAAAATCAAAATCACAATATGATGTAAAATAAAATAATAATATTTTTTTTTTCCTAAATAAACTTTTATTTTACAGTGAAATATTACAATAGTATTATTTCTTATATTGTTTTTATTCTTTTTTTTATTTTTTATTTAGCAATAACAATAATTATTATTTTGTTTTATTGTCATATTGATACAGTCACACACTTTTGGCCAAATTGTGCAGCCTTACAAACAGGCACAGCAAACCAAGATTTTTATAAACAAAAAAAACACGTTTTAAACCACACTAACAATATTTATCAGGAAAAACAAATCACAAATGTTTTTCTTTTTACATTTTTGTCCCCTCAAATTGTACAGCCACAATAGAAAATCATATTCGAAAAATCCCACAAAATTTCCATGTTTTCAATACATGTATACAGGGCTTATATTCCTCAAAACTTACCATTTTGTGCTCCAAGGAACAAACAAAAAACAAACATAATATAGGCGTGAAACAACACGATGTTGAGTAAATAATGACAGAATTTCCATTTGTGCAGACTCTGGTTATTAAGACATTAAATCATGAAAGGGTTTGCAGAATTTGAACATTTTGTGAAACGTTTTAGCATCAACATAAAATATTTCCCATGCATCACAAATCATCATACGTTCCATTTAAATGTCCAACACAGACACATCTTGGCTAAATATCCTCACAAACCAGTCCTCTTTTAAAGCATTTGAAGGCCCTTCGCACAAACACAATCGTTCTTTCACACACAAAGCAAATGCAAAGCTGCTGGATGAAATAAAGAACTCTTCTATACATTTTATAATCTGTTTTAATACTGCGTGATTATTTTGGAGAATAAAAAGGCTGTCACTATGAACACTGGACAGTGGCGATGATGCCAGCGAGATCCAGGGGCCAATCCTTTAGGAGGATTAGCTGGGATAAAATCAAGAAAAATCAAACAAGCCAAACAGGTTATGGAGTTTAGACAGTCACAGGGATGAAATGAGCTTAACCGGACGTCAGTGCGCATGCACGCGGCTTATATGTTACGCCACAGTATGGATGGAGGAAAATTAAATCACAAAGCACCATTCTCATCATCAACCTCTGTGGGGTTTATAATGGCCCATACCGATATATACACAGTTAATATGTTCATATACAGTATAATACAATGACAGATGAAAAGATGTATTGCTGAACATGAATGGTTAATTTATACAATATTTACTACACATATATAATGCATATATTTGTTTATTAAAAATACTGAATTTAGAATACCATGTAAAAAATATTTGCATTTTTTTTATAAATAAATAATAAATATGTGCATATTTGTTTACTTATTTATAATTATATACAAATAAATACTGAAATGTGTATAGTTTTCTACATATATGCCTTAAAATCTCAAAGCAATTAAGTGATTTCATATACTGTAGCAATTAGGGATGTAACGATTCACTCAACTCACGATTCGATTCGATTCACGATTATTAATTTTTTTTAACAAAATGAGATTTACGACAAATTATGAATTAAATGTGTATTTTTATTATTGCTTGGACAAAATGTTGCACATTTCTTTGTGAAATTGAAATATAACACTATAATAATACAGTATACTAATATAGCACTTGCATATTATTGCTCTTTTGTTGATTTTGATTCATCAAGGCTGCATTTATTTGATCCAAAATACAGCAAAAACAGTAATATTGTGAAATATTTTTACATTTTAAAATAACGGTTTTCTGTCCTTCAGAAATCATTCTAATATGCGGATTTGCTGCTCAAGAAACATTTGATAAACATTTGAACTTTGATTAATAACATATATCTAAAATAGAAAGCTTTTGTAACATAGGTGACCATTTAAAAGTTTGGGGTCAGTATGAATTTATTTTTATTTTTTTACTTATTTAGAAAGAAATTAAAGGAAATAATACTTTTATTTAGCAAGGATGCATTAAATCGATACAAAAATAAATATATAGCAATTAGGGATGTAACGATTCACTCAACTCACGATTCGATTCGATTCACGATTATTAATTTTTTTTAACAAAATGAGATTTACGACAAATTATGAATTAAATGTGTATTTTTATTATTGCTTGGACAAAATGTTGCACATTTCTTTGTGAAATTGAAATATAACACTATAATAATACAGTATACTAATATAGCACTTGCATATTATTGCTCTTTTGTTGATTTTGATTGCTTCTATTGTCCTCATTAGTTAGTCGCTTTGGAGTCAACATATTCTGTTACACCAAATACACAAAATAATGATCTTTAAAAAAGCATCATATGACCCCTTTAATATGCTTTATACAGAGGCAAGATGAAAAGAAAAAATACCATCTAAACTTTTCTAAAGACAGTAAGTTCCCCTCAGACATACATTCATATAAACTCCTACACCTAATTGAATCGAGATTTGTTTAGCATCTCAACCCATTTGAATCGTCACATATTTGAATCGATTTTCAACCGGCTCGCGGTTAATCGTTACATCCCTAGTAGCAATACACCGATATATCGGTATCGTCTTATGTTTACTTGCTGTTTGTGATATAGTTTTTGATATAGGTGTTGTATAAATCAGTAATAAATTGATAAAAATAACAACAGGCCTACCTGCGTTTCATCAATATATTTTGTCTACTGTTGCTACGGTAACCACTAAATCTACTGCTTAGTCAATGGATAACACACACATTTCTGTTCATTTAAAAATACTCAATTTAGAATAAATACTATGCAAATAATAGTGTCAAAACTAGACTTGTGCCGGTATTCGGTAATGCGATATATCAGGTTACTGTAGCAGCAGTAGGCAAACTATATTATATAAAATATAAACATTCAATATTTATCATTTATTCATAAATATTTATTTTATTTGTCTAAATGTATATATATTTTTTTATATAAATGTGTGTGTGTGTGTATATATATATATATATATATATATACACACACACACACATTTATATAAAAAAAAATATATACATTTAGACAAATAAAATAAATATTTATGAATAAATGATAAATATTGAATGTTTATATTTTATATAATATAGTTTGCCTACTGCTGCTACAGTAACCTGCAAATCTACAAATGTGCTTAATCAATGGATAATGCACACATTTCTGTTAATTTAAAGTACAGAATTTAGAATATGTAAAAAAACAAAACAAATATTTATAAATAAAATATGCATATGTTATATACATAAAAATAAACATTTATAAATAAATATTTATAAAAAATAAATCATTTTTTAATATTTCATATATGTCTACTGTTGCTACAGTAACCTCCAAATCTACAAATGTGCTTAGTGAATGGATAATGCACAAATTTTTGTTAATTTAAGATACTAAATTAGAATAAATATTATGCAAAAAATCTAAACATTTTTTAATTATTATAATATTTATGTATATTTAAATAAAAACATATATTTTTATAAATAAAATGTATTTATTATAAACAATATAGTGTTTTTTTTTTCATAAAGCGCATAATATAGTTTACTGTTGCTACAGTAACCTCCGAATCTACTGCTTAGTCAATGGAAAATGCACAGATTTCGACCGCTGTGAAGTGACTGTTTCTGGAGCTTCTAGATTTCATTCTCACCATCGCATTGAGCGGCAGCTGCCTGCAACATTAAGCATGATTCCTCAGTAAAAATGCGTTTTAACGCAGAAGCACAAGGAACGGACGATGCCTTTCCAGATGCAGTCAGGTCTGATTGAATGAGGAGAGGAGATGCGATGCGATGCGACAGCGGCGTTATCAATTCCCGTGACATCACTCCTGCATGTTTCCCATAGAGCTGACAATCACTCAATGCATGCAGACATTCAACGACGCGCTACACTCGCGTAAACGTGAAGAAAGTGACTCGGTGTAATGACTGCGGCTGCGTCTCAGACTCACCCTGCTAGTTTGGGCATCCTGACAAAGCTGAACACGTCCATGATACGGATCGCCTCCGAACTCACTTCGATTCCATCCCCGCAAACGTCTCGGCGTGAATCGTGTAGAGAATGAACGCGACGGAGCTTTCCTCAAGTCAGTGCAATTGACAACGGGATCTCCTGCATGGCTGCGCGTTGACGGCGGCGTCGCTTGCGTGAAACACGATCCGCGTTCCTCTCAGATTCACATGCTCCACGGCTCCAGATGCCCTCGGCCAACTTTATTTAATTTCCCATCGCGGTGGAAACCGAACGCCGGGATTGGCGAGCGATGGAGGAGAGCGAGATGAAGCGAGAGACCGAACGGAGGGAGCGCGGGAGGAGCAGGAGGAGATTGTCAGCCGATAGACGCTCCATCTAATCTCAGATGTCCACATGTAATGAATAATCTCGCGCGCGTGCAAAGGTCAGCGTCATCGCACGAGCGCGCGACGCGAGACTGGAGGGGAATCGAGAAGCGCGTGGGTGCTCCATGGAGGAGGAGGAGGAGGAGGAGGAGGGAGATATAGAGATGAGGAGAGAGGAGAAAGTTATTAGATGAGCAAAGAGAGAATAAACACCAGTGTTGCCAACTCTCACGCGATGTGCGATGACGAATTACGCTACAACACTTTTATTATTAGC